ATGGCGGAATTATTAACGGCGGCAATCCGGCAAATACGGATGGAGCAGGCCCACGGTAATCCTTCTAGAATCCTTTAGTTCGATCTAGTGGAGACGGCGGCTGTCCTAACTACAAAAGGTCGCCCATGAAAAAAAAAGAGAAAATGGCGGAAATTTAAGGAAGCAGGGTTGATAATATCATTACTGTAATCCCTAGAGAAGACTATGGATGGAAAATTGCATAGGGGAAGGTATAATAACCTATAATTAGCTATTATCTGCCCCTGGGTGGATTATTACTGGAGAATTCTATTATTGTTGTTATTATCAGGGACTGAGCAGGGGTTTAGGGGCGTTTTGAAGAATTGGGCCGAATGCACGTGCTGGCATCGACATTGATAGCTGTATATACCTGTTGTACAGAGCATAGGACGAATACGAATAGTGAATAAGAGAAGATCAAATACTATAGATAGAATCATGTGTGCTTATCGACAATCATCAGTGAGATCTGAGACAAAATGACGACAGAAATGTTCTCAGCAATTGGGAAGAGTATGGAGTACAAAGCACTGATATTCTCTGATATCATATCATTTAAGCAAAGATCAGAGAAACCGCAATAGGACAATTGATTTCGTATACCCTTAGAATGTTGGCCGTAGACGGAAGGAGAAAAGAATGTGGCGTTGACATTGTGGTCATGAACGGCAACCGGCAGTTAATCAAGCACACAAAATAACGGATTGAATGTCCCTAGTACGGAGTACATACTACTACAGAGTACAGACAGGTACGCTATGTATGGTAGTAGTAGTACCACTGGATAGTCGCCACTGGGCGGTCTGGGACCGGAACCAGCACCTTCTTCCAGGGGGTTTTTTATAGATAGACAGAAATTGATGCTCGCTGTTCTTTTCTTAGTATTGCTTAATAGCTCACTACCACTTGTCAGTAAGTATCCAATGCTAAAGAAATCGTGGTCTGTCAAGTCCATCCAAATATAATTTTACCATTTAACTTCCATCGTCAACTTCATTCTTTTTCAAATAACCAAATTAAAAGAAGAAATACATTTTAATACAGTGAGTGAGAGGGTGGTGGTTGCTCTCCCTCGCTTTGGGGTCCTGGCAAATTATCTCTCCCCCATCTGGCCCATTCCATCTTCTTTCTCTCTTCTCTCCCTCCCCTCCCTTCCCTCTCTCCATCTCTCTTCCTCTTCCTCTTCATTTTAATATTTCTTTCTTTCTCTTTTTTTCTTCTACCCGCTTCCTATCTTCCTTCTTTAATACCCCTTCCTTTTCTCACTACTCCTTCTGTACTGGTATCTCTGGTACAGCTGTCCTTGGTTCTCCCGATCGTGGTTCACTCTTTTTTTTTTTTTTTTGGCCTCTGGCCAACCATCGACCAGTTCTTCAATCCCCTTTCTGTCTCCATCCTAATCTCCCTCTTCGTGTTCTGTCCACGCTAGTCCGAGATTCCCTACACCGGTTCAACCTGCCAATGACGCGCCGTCGCTGCATATAAACACGAGGAAATTCATTCGGTGATTGAGTGTCCATCATGGCGAATTTGTACGTTTCTATTTCCTTTTGGTTAAAGGGAGGGGGAATAATAAATAATGAAGACTTGTTACTAACTTCTTGTAGTGTCAATTCAACATGGCGCTCCTTCTGGCATACCATGACCTCCTATGACCGCCATGCGTCCCATGACTCTCCCTATCGCACCGGCAGACACGTTCCCCTCAGTCAAAGCCGCGATGATCCTCTTACCTCCGTTGCAACAAGCGCCATCGATTCTCGTGCAGATCTAACAAATCCTTACGACGATGATCCCAAGGCGTCAAATCCTAATGGCTGGGCGGGTTCTCCCACCGGCGTTGGTTCCCCTACTCGCCCCTACTCCCCCGGAATGAGATCTTTCTCGTCGAATAAACGGATGTCGCAGGAGCAAGGTGCTGATGGCGCCGGGAATATCCAAATGCAAAGCTTTCAGGACGGTGCCCCGCCGCCTCCCCCAGTTGCCCACTCCTGGAAGAAGATTGAGCGCTGGTTGGAAAACAATTACGAAGAACTGTTTGATAATCTATGTGAAGGTTGCACTCAGAATGATATCAATGAGCTGGAGCACGAACTGGATTGCACTCTGCCGCTCGAATTTCGGGAGTCATTGATGAGCCATGATGGTCAGGAGCGTCCAGGATTACCCACAGGTGTCATCTTCAGTTGCATGTTGTTGGACTGCGAAGAGATTGTGCAGGAGTGGAAGAACTGGAGGGTCGTGAACGAGGAATTTCTCGTCAACTCACCAATGGGCGCAAGTGTCCTTCCTCCCAAAGTGACTGCAAGCTCCTCGTCCTCCGCACCGCCGCCCGCTCAGCATGGTAACAATCCGTTATGGCGCCAGGAGCTCCTCGAACGACAGGATTCGCAACCCGCGGGTGCCGTTCAAAAGGCCTACGCCCATCCCGCCTGGATTCCCGTAGCCCGTGATTGGGGCGGCAACCACATCGCCATCGATCTGGCACCGGGTCCCTCCGGCAAATGGGGCCAGATCATCATCTTCGGTCGTGACTACGACTGCAAATACGTGATTTCCCGATCGTGGGCTTCATTCCTCGCCACGCTGGCCGATGACTTCTGCAGCGGCAAAGTTATTGTCGACGAAGAAACCAACGAACTCAAACTGAAGGAATTCAAATCTCAGAATGTCGAGCCTCCGTACTTGGAAATCCTCCGCTGGAGAACCGACCAGAAGTACGGCCGGAGACCTCCCCGCCGCAAGGGTCCCAACGGCCTCGGCCTGAACACCGGCAGCAAACCGGGCAAAGAGTCACCGTATGGAGGTTCGACCCCGAATGAAGAACGTGGACGATCGCCTCATCGGTTCTCTGGACGTGGGTCGGCCCAGAGCCCCAAAACTCAATTCGGAATGTCCAGCCCTCTCGCTCGTGTGACAGAGGAAGCCCCGAGCCCCATCAATCCCACAGCGGAGGACGGACTACCCGAATCGTCCAGCAAGGAGAATGAGAAGGAGTCTCAGAATGAGGATCTACTGGATGTGGCCACTCCACAGGTTAGCGGCAAGGAAAACGAAAAGGTGCTTGAGAAGGAGGATGAACAGAAATCCGAGCAGACAGCAAAGCACGAATCGAAACCGTCATCCCCTGCCGCTCTGGACTCAGAAGTCTTGGGTGAAATGAAGAATGTGGCCATCTAGGTTGGTTTCTTTGCGACAATTCACATTGACCTGTTCGTATAATAATGAATTTCCTTTTTTTTTTTTTTTTTTTCTCCCCCCTTTCTACTTCAAATTGATGGATTGTGCGTAAAGATTGTTCTGTTTTCCTGTTCCTCCTGTATAAAATTCCAGGCTTCATTTTTCGTTATCCCGGTGATACTGTTAGCTGTGAGCATCTTTTCTCTATTGTCTTTTTCTCGTTTTGAGGACGACTTTTTTTTTTTTCTTTGAATTCGTCTACATTGTCAGTGTAACCTTACTTGATGATCATGCAGTATTAGTCTTGATATCAATTTGTCTTCTGTTGTTGTTGTTTTTTTCAATTCGATAAGACTAGCGTCTTTTCTTCATGAAATTAGAAATGGAAGTGCTCCAGTGTCATAATATACAACAATGGTGGTTTGCATGCATGCTTGCACAATATCCAACAATAATCCATTATATACATCTTAATCCCAGTCGTCATCATCGTCATTCCGATTTAATCGTCCTCCGCTTCGAATAGCCCGTCGAGGGCCACGTCCAGCGTCCTCATCCGAGCCAGCAGAATCATAGTCATCGTCATCATCATCACCCTGCTTGATCTTGGCCTGCACAAGAATCCCCTTCCAAAGCAACCTCTTCTCCAGAGTAGCAATACTAAATCCATCCTTTCCATCACGTCCCCCAGACCCCAACCCTTCAAACCCAAGAACCCTTTCAACACCAAGCCCATCCTTGAACCCAATCACACAAGGCAACACCTTGATCTTCAATTTCTCCACGATGAACGGCGTATGTCGCACATCCACCCGCGCAAACTTGGCTTCATAATGCCTCATCGCCAACGTCCGAATATGTTCGTCCATCACCCCGCACCGCGCAAAATCCGGATGCGCAAAATGCACCACACATTTGTGCGTATTCGTCGTGAAGCCCAACACAGACTGGTCGCTTGTTAGGGTTGGGTAGAAGGTGTCGGTTATGATTGTGCCGGCACCACCACCGGCAGCAGGGTAGGACGCGAAAGAGGAAGGATCATGGGCAGGGCCATTTTTGGCAGAGGCGTATTCGGCGTTAAGTTGTTCGATGCGGTTTGCACGGTAGGTGGAGTCGTCTTCGTTTTCGAGGGCTGCGAAGAGGGCTTCGTCGTCGAGGTCGTCGGGGTCTGAGGTGGTGGTGGGTTCGTGTTTGGAGGTCATTTCGTTCTGGTTCTGTTGGTGAATATTTCTGTTTCTCTGTCGTCGTCTGCGTCTGCGTCTGCGTCTGTGACTGTCACTGTCACTGTCACTGCCACTGCCACTGTAACTGTGACGGGGTCTGTTTCTGTCTATTTGTTCGAGTCCGTGTCAGGAAGTTCGTTGCTGGTCGTGAGGGTGCAGTGAGAGAAATGCGAGAAGATTGATTGATTTTCGCTTCGATTAGATCAGGGTAGATAGAAATAAAAGAATTCGGCATTCAAGTTAATTGACGGTATAACAAGTGTGAGTGAGATGTTGTTAGGTTGAAATAGTCGTATACTGGGTGAAAATTACCACTGAAAAGATTCTCGAACAACTCACACCCAGAGTAGAACGAAATGGAGAAAAGAGATTATCCTGATTATCCTGATTATCCTGATTATCCTTTCTCATCTAGAAATAGAAGCAATTGTAGCAATATTCTCTATTCCTCACTCTCTTTTGTATAGATTTAAATCTCTCTAATCTCCTGTCAGGGTGAATCCCGCTAAGTAAGCACGACCAATCAACATCCCAAATCCCCCAAGTCCGTTTCTTGTCTATTTTCTTACTTTTCCTCTTCTTTCAGTCACCTCTCACGCACGTTTGTATTCTTCTTCTTGTTCTCCTTCTCTTCTTCTTCCCTCGTCTTGCCTAACAGGAAGAGACTGTCGCTCGTTTAGTCGACTCTCTCGCTGCCCCTCGTCGCATCCATCCCTTTCCCTCACCTGGGATTGTTTGACGGCCTGCGCTGTCAAGTGTCAACTTGCCTAGGTCGCCTTCATTTATTTATTTATTTATTTATTTTTTTTTTTTTGACCGACGACCGGCTTCTTAAGGTTACCAACAACCGGATTGTTTACACCTTTTCCGTTCTGAAAAGCCCCGTTTTCCTCCGCACACCGTCACAATGGCTGAAGACAAGAAGTCCGATAACTATACGATCGAGATGGACAAGCTGGATCAGGGAAACAGTCGCACCTTTGAGGCACCTCCCCCGCCTCAGCCGCGAGCTGCTCCAGCGAACAACCCGATCCTGCCGGTGCTGGCTTACTGCGGATCTTCGATTTTGATGACTGTCATGAATAAATATGTCTTGTCCGGCACCAACTTCAACCTCAATTTCTTCTTGCTTTGTGTGCAGGTATGTGTAAAAGGCATAATGGAGTGGTGTGCTCTTTCTATTTGGATGTGTACGGTTAACTCGCTATCTAGTCCATTGTATGTATTTCTGCGATTCAGGGGTGTAAGACCGCTGGTCTTATTAACTACCGTGATTTCAACAGTGACGAGGCGAGGAAGTGTATGTATTCCTCATTGAAATGTGAGCGCAAGTACAGTGTCTGACAGGTGTCATGTTATAGGGTTCCCGATTACTCTGCTTCTGATCGGTATGATCTACACCGGTACCAAGGCTCTTCAGTTCCTCTCGATTCCCGTCTACACCATCTTCAAGAACTTGACTATCATTCTTATCGCGTACGGAGAGGTGCTGTGGTTTGGTGGCTCCGTTACTGGCTTGACGCTTTTCTCTTTTGGCCTGATGGTGTTTAGTTCGGTTATCGCCGCGTGGGCCGACATCAGATATGCTCTTGAGAGCAGCGGAGACGCTACTGGCAAGATCTCTACTTTGAACGCTGGATACATCTGGATGTTGATCAACTGTCTTTGCACGTCTTCCTACGTCCTTGGAATGCGCAAGCGCATCAAGTTGACCAACTTCAAGGACTTTGACAGTATGCTCCCCGGTTTCTCCTTGATCCTTTCCACACATGTCTAACATGTCTACAGCTATGTTCTACAACAACTTCCTGTCGATACCCGTCCTGGTCGTTCTCTCTGTCTTCACCGAAGACTGGTCGTCCGCCAACGTTGAGCGCAACTTCCCCCCTGCCCAGCGCAACAACATCATCTTCGCCATGATCCTCTCTGGTGCCTCAACCGTATTTATCTCCTATACCTCCGCCTGGTGTGTCCGTGTGACCTCATCCACCACCTACTCAATGGTGGGAGCGCTGAACAAGCTTCCCATTGCGATTTCTGGATTGATTTTCTTCGACGCCCCCGTGACGTTCCCCAGTGTGTCGGCTATCTTTGTAGGCTTCGTCAGTGGTATCGTCTATGCCGTTGCCAAGATCAAGCAGAACGCTAAGCCCAAGACTGGTGCTCTACCAACTTCGAATCCGGTCAGTGCTAGCAGCCAGAGCATGAGAGATTCGTTGCGGTCATAGATCCGCATCCTAGCGGGCATTATGTCATGGTGGCATGGTTGTTTTTCTTGTTGCGACGTCTGGCAATTAACTGAATTGATGTACTGGGTTTGATTCTGGTGATTCGCGTTGGTGGCTTCTCTTATACAGCGCATATTATTATTACTTCATTCTGGCAGCGCAGAGGCGCTCCGTTGTTGCAAGTGTTATTCTTTTTTTAGTAATATTGTTACTTTCTTATCCTTTTCTTTTTATTTCGATACGATTCAGGTGTGTCTGTTATTTACTGGCTTTGAAGCGATGCTTGAAAATAGACTCGTCGACGTTGGATTAAAAAAAAATAGTTTCATTTCTTTGGTTTGTCTGTTTTCTGTATATAATTTATTTTTCTTTTAATAGGTTATAGAATATGTTGCTATACGGTGTTATTGATTTCAATGATGTATCCGTAGATCCAGAATCTATATCTCGGAACTTATATTTGACCGGAAAATCTTTCGGTAGGTTAGCTTAATCTTGGTAAGATCTCAATGTCAACTTCAATTCTCAATATGTAACACATATCTCAATTGGCATAACAATAACACTTTCATATTTAAAAAATGCCCAAGGCAAAAAAGGCCCGAATTGCAGCCGCGCAAGGTGGTGATGTCAAAAGAAAAGCCAACGACATCAACAAAAAGAAGATGAACACATTTCCCCGACTGTCGACGACCAATAACAACAATAATGACACCAAGAAAAACAAAACCAATAATGGCAAACAACAAAGAAACCAGCGACCAATTGTTCCGTTTGGGAGGAATGATCGGGTTTTGTTAATTGGCGAAGGTGATTTTTCTTCCATCGTGCTTTTATACGGCTATATAAAATAAATACACATTTACTGATAAAATGACAGGCGACTTCTCCTTTGCCCGTTCACTGGTCGTCCAGCATCGGTGCCGGAATGTGCTTGCGACATGCTATGATTCCAAGGATGACCTGTACGGGAAGTACCCCCAGGTAGAAGGGACTATCCAAGAAATGCAGAATGCATTCCTGAAGAAAGATAAGAAGCGCAAGACAGATGGAGACGAGGCAGATGACCACGATGGTCAACCAGGGCCACCAGGCGAGAATGATGAAAATGACGAGGAAGACGACAAGCAAAAAGACATAGAAAAAGCACAGGCCACAAACAAAAACAAGACAAACCTCAAAGTCCTCTTCTCAGTCGATGCCCGGAAACTTGGCCACGCCTCTGCTGGAGGAGGGAAAGACGTCCGGATAGGTTTCCCACGACCACACCAACTCAAACGTCCTGCGTGGTTGGAGGCTCGTCATGCTGCCAATAACGCCAATAAAAAGCATAACTCTGGTGGGCAAGGGAAAGGTGAAGGGGGACCGTGGGATATAATCTGCTTCAACTTCCCGCATGTGGGTGGGCTGTCAACGGATGTGAACAGGCAGGTGCGGTTTAATCAGGAATTGCTTGTTGCGTTTTTCAAGGCCTGTGTACCGCTTTTGTCGAGGCCGATTGATAGCAATGGTGCGGTTGATAATGAATTTGAAGATGAGGATTATTGGGAGGAGTCGAGTGATGACTCTGATGAGGATGGTGAGAACGGTAATGGAAGAGAAAAGAACAAACCCCGGACAGAATCAGGACAAATATTGGTTAGTCTATTCGAAGGAGAGCCGTATACTCTATGGAACATTAAGGATCTTGCTCGACACGCTGGGCTAAAGGTAATTACCAGCTTCAAATTTCCCTGGGCTTCCTACCAGGGTTACTCGCATGCGCGGACTCTAGGACACATTGAAGGGAAACATGGTGGACGAGGTGGGTGGAAAGGCGAGGATAGGGATGCCAGGATGTATGTCTTTGAGCTTAAAGACGATCACGCAACGGCTCAGCTCAAGGCAGATGCCAGTGCAAAGAAGAAAAGGCCAAGGAACGAATCGGACAGCGATGATAGTGATTAGATCATGTACTAATAGTTAAAACTCCCATTTGATACAATAATCAGTTATCCTTTATCCTGGATTATGGAATGCCATATTACATGATGTACACTCTCTTCATGTCGCCCTCCTCGAAAACTTCGCCGGTGGTTGGGTCTTTGATGGTCCCTGCTTCGATACAACCAACGTTCTTGTTCATATTCAACAAACGTTCTTGGCCGTAAACCCTGCCATTCGGCAAGACAATTGGATCGCTTTCGATGTAGCTCTTTGTGTGATGTGCATAGGGCATGTTCCGTGCCAGCTCATTCAACTCGGTTGAACAGATCGGACAAACAGAAGTTGTGGTAGACAGTGAATTAGACCTCGACGAAGTGTACTCCGAGTGGCAGGAGGGCGTCTTCAGCGCCGACAACCCAGCAGATAGCGCAATATGTAATAGAGGACGTGATGGCAGCGATAGAAGTTCATGATGGGTACGGACAAAGAGTTCCGCAAGATGAGTCCATCGAACCGAAGAGTACATCGCCTGCGACATGATTAGCCTGGTTACTTTCTATTGCAAGGGGCCCAATGCATACTCTGTAAGGCTCGGCCTTAGTATCGCGGGGGAATGCAAGAAGTCCTGCAGCATGGCTGATTTCGGTCGACTGAGTCTCCATATACGGTGTAAGGTATTTCTTTGCATGCAGCATAGCCTCGATCAGCTTCTTTTTATCACCAATCCGTATCATTTCGATGTATTGCTGCAATCGCAGTTCAAATTCCAAGTTATACTGCAAGGCATCAGTCGTCCCGGACCCGGATCGAATTGGAAGACATACCGAGCTCAGAATAACATACCTGACTCTTCTTTAGACCTGCCTTATTCTCCCCGCACCATTGCAATGCCTCCTTGGTCTCTCCGTGACGTAGACTATCCGCGATCCGCTGACACTGCACGAAAACATTTATATCCACGAGATCCTCAATACCCTTCTCCTGCGCCAATTGCTTCGCACTCTCCGAATACCCAGACCGGAGCATATGATCCACCATCAGCCTGTCCAACCTAGTCCTAGACCACTCATCATATTTAACATCCACCAGACTGGGGATCTGGTGCAAACTCTCCAGATATTGTATGCGCTTCTTCGACTGATCCTGTACCTTCCTCTCTTCTCCCTGTAGATTCTCCATCTTCCGCTTCAGCCCTTGCATGCGGGATAACATCGCATCAAGCGCGGCAAGTGTCTGGTCCGGCGTGTGAGACCCCGATAACGAATTATTGGCGGCATCTTTGAGTGCTGGGAGGACATTTTCCTTTTCGCGCTCGACAACCCGTTGGACGGACTTGAAGTTTCGACGGGCGAGTTCGTGGGGTAAACGGAGGAGCGGTTGGTCCTATTTTAGTATAAAATGTTAGCTGGTGAGGCACGATTTGCTGAATGATGCAGGCAGATAATACCAAGAGAAGATGGTTCTCCGCATTGAGTTTCGTTGACGTGAGCTCCGCGGCCATGGCGGATTGTCCTTTGCGGTGGTTTCTGTAATTCTTATTCCTTTTCTTCTTCAATTATGACTTGCCTCTGAGCTTTGGTAAAATTCAATAGACAGGAAACTGGAGTGAAGCTGAATGGCGTGGTGTCAGTTGATTGCTACTTGAGGTGGCATGAGATCCGCGCGGAGATCAAGTGACCCCGTGACGCCACAGGACTAAGCTTACGGCGATTCATTCCTGTTTGAAAATGAAATCCAAGTAAACGACAATAAACAAGAGTAATTTTGACCCAGAACTACATAATCCTAGAAAGCAGCAACAGACTTGAGATACAGTAAAATCAGACAGAACCCCTTTTCAACCCAAGACTCCAATGAACGACAGAAAAGACAAGAAACAATATGTTACAGGAAATATGCCCAGATGAAGCCGCAACAGGAGAATGCATGGAACAACAGCATTTTCTGAAAGAGCGGCACTATACCATTAGAGCCGGGCAACGGACTTCCCTGAAGACGTTTAGTCGCTGTCACTATCCTCCTGCTGCTTGGACTTTCTCCGCTCTTTCTTCTCCTTCTTCTCCTTCTTCTTGCGCTTGCGCTCCGCTCGCTCCTCTGGAGTTTCTCCATCGTGTCTCTTGCGCTTCTTCTCATCATCCTTGTCGTCATCGACTTCCATCTTGTTTGGGGAAGATGGCTCTTCCGCTGGCTCGTCCTTCGGCGCAGGTTCAGCGGCGGACTGGTCGGAAGCTTTAGGTTGGGCAGAAGAATCATCCTCAGCCACGTTATAATCCTTGTAGTCGCTCTTCCACTGGGCGGGGGTGGCCTCGTTGGTTCGGCCATATTTCTGTAAGGTGATCAGTATTGTAGAACAACATTTATATCCTTAAGAACTGCATCTGGCAACTTACGTCCAACTTGCCCGAGGACTTAAGTTTCTTCTTCTCCAAAGCCACAGGACCCAGACCCCATCTGCGGGGGTAGAGGTCACGCTCCATGATACAGCGCTTGACCTTGGCAACAACACCGTGGTCGCAGGTGGACAACTCGACGGTCGACATCTGGGAAATACCAATGGCAATAGCCTCACCCTTGGTGGTCATAAGGACAACCTCCTCGTGAGCATCAATTCCAGCCTCTAAAGAAGTGGTCAGTAACTGAGAAAAGAGGAATGCATGTGATTACGAGCTTACCGAAACGGAGGAGACCAGGAATCATGAGCTTTGCACCGTAGCAAACGGCGTTAACAGCGCTGTCTTTGACGACAATACGCTTGTAGGTCGTGAGAAGACTCTCAAGGGGGCTGATGACCTTGCGCAGATACGATTCGTCGCGCTGGTTGTCATATAGCCACTGCGCATCCATGACATCGTGCAAAGTGACCATGCCCTTGTTCTCATCCATAGCTCCACTGCGCACACGACGGAGCTCCTGCATGTGCGCGCCGACGCCGAGAAGAAGACCGAGGTGAACACACAAAGTACGGATGTAAGTTCCCGCCTCGCAGCTGACCCAGAAAACACCAAGGTGTCTGTCATTGTCGAACTCGAAAAGCTTGCTCTCGTGGATGGTTCTGATACGAAGCTGGCGCTTGACAGCCGAGATAAGAGGCGGCCGCTGGAAGAGAGCACCGGTCAGGGTCTCCAAAGCGCGTCTGAACTGGGCCTCCCCACCGGGGATTTTGTCGTGGAGACGGATAACGCATACGTATTCCTTTCCGGCGCCTTGTTGCGACTTGACCAAACGAGTCGCACGGTCAACACAAACAATCAAGCATCCAGTGACCTTCGGGTCAAGGGTACCACTGTGACCGGTCTTGTCGGCCCTTAAAAAACACAAGAGTTTCAGCAAATTGACCTGAAATTGAAATTTTATAGGAGCGTTACCTCAAGATCCTCTTCATCCATGCGACAACCTCATGACTGGATGGGTTGGAAGGCTTGTCCAGGTTAATCACACCAGAATTGATATAGGACTTCAAGTCACGCTTGAGAGGCGAGCAACCGGCGGGAATCGGCGTAAAGTGGCCCGTTCTGACAAGAACTATTGCGAGAAAAAGTTTTCTAATCAGCTACACTGCACCTTGAAACACACAAAAAAGAGCATGAGGTAGAAAAAAGAACAAGAGAATTTCATTGACATACGCTTATCGTAGTTCTTGAGCAGAAGAGGCCAGTCTGCCGTGTTGATGCTGCTGGAGCTGGCCTCCGGCTTAATGGTGTAGTCCACCTCTTCCTTAGCCACTGTGTTTGCCATTTTGGCCAAGAGAAGACACAGTTTGACTGGCTAGAGAAATGTAAGGTAGCCAGGTAGTTGCGCGCGTTGAAGAAAGGACCACTGAGTGGAAGAAAAAAAACTGCACCTGCTGGACCGACGCTAGCGAGAGAAAAGAAGGTTGGCAAATTTTCCATCCAGTTGAAGTGCGGCGAGTGCTTCAGTAACCCGAAACGGTTTAGCGCATGGCTCCACTGCTAGTAGAATCACATGACCGGATACCACCAAAAAGGCGGAATCTCGAATTATTATTATAAGTACAAAGTACAGTATGTATTACTAGTTCAAGAGTTCAATAGGAGCGTTTCAAGCTAACTGCTGCAGTACTCGATACTTAGGGCCTCAAACCCAGCGACTGATAATGATCACACCATCACAATTCGGTCTTGTTCAGAAATGTCTCCAGCCCTTTAACCACCGCCCAATCTCCTTCCTGTTCCCCTTCTACTCCACGAGTTTTGAGAGGACCAACCTCTCGACTCTTCAGACGCCTGGGATGCCGGGATTTGTCCTGTTGATCGGTAGGTTGTTCCATAGGATCGATACGTTTCACGCGATGTTTGGATGAAAAACCTTCTGATGAAGTCTGGGGTCGTAATATAGTTCTTGCCGCCGCCAAATGCCGGGTAGATACGTGTAAGGAATTCGTACATGTGGGCAGCGACAATTCCCATACTTTCTAATAGCGCAGCACGCCAACCAAAACGGACCATCGTAATCACAAGCATGGCCCAAGGGAGAAATTCCACACGTATCTGAAAGAAATAGAAAGTGGTTTTCATTCCCTTGTTATGATGGGCATAAGTGTAAACAAACGCCAGGATCAATGCTATTATGCATCGTTAGCATTAGAGACGGCGTCTTATACTTTGGGTGCTGCAGCGAGAGCTCACCGGAGGTAAAGATTCCACCTTCCAAGTAGCAGCCTGCGGTGAGCTTCAGCTTGTCAGCATGGGAATCAATTTATAGCTACTTCAATAACGAGTCCGGGAAATGAATGAATCCATGCTAAAGAGGAAATAAGGAGAGGCATATATATAGGATTGTAATGAAGAAATGTAGGGCACCATAACCACCAACGTGAACTTATTTTATCACGCTGGCTATCTCAAAGGTATTCCCACCATTCCTACACCGCATACAGCCCGAAAAGTTTGCGAATGAATGGGTGTACGAGATGCAGGGGTGATCTTCCTCGGTTCCAGGAACCGCTTCAGCTAGTTTTCGGCTGGGCGGGCAGATAATCCGAGGTTTTGAAAAAAAAAAAAAAAAAAAAGACGATATCTCGTCCGAGATACAAGGGAATAGAAGTATTGGCCAAATCCTATGCAATTATGCATTTGGATCGAAAGAGCTGTAACTTACCAAAATGACAGTAGCTACGAAGAACACATAGGTGAAGAAATCACCAGGGCCGTTGAGCCGCGGCGAGTTTGTCTCCAAGGCACTGCCATAGGTAAACACTACCATTAGGTTAGCATGGCAGTAAGCCTGGGCTATCACGAAGCCGTACTGAAGTAAAGATCAAATAAGAAGTCAAGTTGGGGACCCGTCAGTAGAAACGATGACCCTAGCCGCCATACTTCCGGCGGGAACTTGAAGACAAGACTTGTCAAAAACGGAACATAATAAGCATTGTGTAGGCCACCATAGACTAAAATGGACTGGGCAAAAGTAAGTGCAGTTAGGGTCCTATTGTTAAAGTTAGTATAAAGATTGACCATCGGACGGTGATAGGCAAAATAGGGGGGGAAGGTTCGTACCTAGTGACAGGAGGAGCAGACCAAAACTGGTCCATTGTTAATAGATAGTAAGTGGTTTGATTTAAATCAGATTAGATATTTGAGGACTCTGCAGCTGCGCATCACACTGTAAGTCCTTGGTTCGGTCGGTGTTTTTTTTTTTTTTTTTGTGATAGGAAAAGAGAAGAGGAAATGAAAGCTCATGAGCGAAATAAAAACGTGTGCTCGCTAGCTTCTCTTCGCTTAAAGTTTTTCCGCTTCCGCCCCATTGGCAGTATAATGCCGCCTTGCCCAAAGTAGTAATAATTCGACAGTCGTAGATGTAGGATATGTACTGTTCAAAAGACTACGTATCATCTACCTCACGGATTAACTTTGAGAACCGCATTTCGTTCTCATAAGCCTTCAATAATATCCACATTTATACAGCTTCTGTTTGCACGGAGCCTCGCACGGCAAGGCCTCCTTCAGGACCTTCAATCCACACATCCCATGCATCAGTCCTTCTGCCAGTCTTCGGCTTACCGCAGACTGTCAGCTCCTCATCAACATAAAGTGGAGCCAAGTTTCTATATTCAATGTCCTTTATGAAATGCCGAGATTGTAGATGCCCTTGCATTGCTGTAAGCAGCAACGTCAGAGTTAATGGACCATGTACAAGAAGGTTCCGGTAACCTTCCGTGTGTTGGGTATAAATTTTGTCGAGATGAATCAGATGGGCATTGAATGTGAGAGCTGAAAACCGAAAGAGCAAGGACTTGTTTGGTCTTATCCCATAGCGGAACTGTGCATCTGAGGGAGCTTTGGGTGGGAGTAGTGTCAGTATCATTCAATTTACTATAAGAATCGAAGAAATGCGCACGTTTGATGATCCTGTTATTTTCCCCAAAATTTTTTTTGTCATTTTCGAGCTGTTCCTGGGTCTTCTCACGCATAAAGATCAAATTCCGAGTCTCAATGACCGATGCCTGTCCATTTTCTTCTTCGTTCTCTGTCCATATCCTCCTCCTTATATCGTGCTCCTCCTCATCCCGTTCTTTCAGGACGCCCACCCGCCTTTCAATGCTGACCACAATTTTCTCCTCTCCTTTTAGGCCGTTGACTGTCACGTCGCGAATCGTTTCTAGACATACAGCCCTACTGCCATCTAGAAGCGGGCCGCTCAGAATTGGAAACCTTACTTTTCCGCCTGCCCATAGGCGCCTGTTGAATGGGTCCCCGGGGCTATGTAAGACATCAGTACCATCAGATAGTAACTGGGACAGTGTAACTTGAGGAGGAAAATAGACCAAGTGGTGGCCTGGTGCCATATGAAGCGGGGTCTTTATTGAGGGAAGAGTCCTGCTCTCTAGCACAAACGGTTGTTGTTTTGGGAAGAGATCAGTTAATGTCGCATTCAGTAAGTGAGACGGTTGAGGATGTAGGTAGTCATAGAATAAAGGAAGCTTCCGTGTTGTCAAAACCTGATTTAAGCGTCCAGAGAGTGAGGAGCATGAGCGCGATAAGGCAGCTGAAACTCCTTGTCTCAAGCGCAAGCATTGCAATAGCTTCCTTTTCATTAGCAAGAAATTGGCCTAGCCAAGCAGCGCATTAGAATGAAAATAATTGAAGATAACAAATGACTCCGCCGGTTTTGCGGAGTCTCGGTTCTCCGTAGTTTGACTTGTTTGTCCGAGGTCGGGCAGCTGAATAGGATTTCGCTATGTTCTCTTGCAGTGAAATCACAAAATAAACAGAGCAACAAGAAGCTAGTGCTAGGGAAAGTTTTCTCTGGAAGATCAAATTTGGCTGTGCGAGCATTGAATCCCGATGGAGCCCTCCAAGGTCTCATTTCTGGGCCCAAAAGCGTCCTTCTCCCACCAGGTATATATGGATCAAGCATCCCCATCGGCCTACGAAGAATACACGAACACTAATCATTATGAGCTATTTTCACAGGCAGCTGTAGAGGCGTTTGGAGGTTCGGCGCAATTAACACCATGCTTGTCGTTTGCAGACGCCTTCTCGGCAGTCCAGCAAGGACAGTCGGACTACGCAATAATCCCTGTTGAAAACTCGAGCAACGGATCCGTCATGCAGACACTCGATCTTCTAGCAGACCGGAATGAAATTTACGCCGATGTCGAAGTATGCGCGGAACATTACCTGACAGTCCATCACTGCTTCATGGTTCGAAAGAACACATCACCAGCATATAGCTCGATAACCAAGCTATACACACATCCGCAGGCCTGGGGGCAATGCGAAACTTTCCTCAGCAAAAACTTCAAGGGGGTGGAGAGACAAGATGTCTCTTCAACCTCAAAATCCGCTGAAATTGTTTCGAAGGAGACCACAGAATGCAGTGGCGCCATCGCCAGCCGCTTTGCGGCGGAGTACCACGGCGTGGATGTTCTGGCAGAGAACATCGAGGATAAAGCCGATAATACAACACGATTCTTGATATTAAGGAATGTGCATTCGAAGCGCTCAGCTCGATTGACTTTTCAGGACGCGAGTCCGTCTAAACCTTCATCGACTGCTTTGAAGACTCTGGTTTTGTTCACAGTCGACCATAATTCACCTGGGGCGTTGGCAGACGCCTTGTCGGTTTTCAAAGATCATGGACTGAATTTAACAAGCATAAACACGCGCCCGAGCCAAAAGCGAGCTTGGCAATATGTGTTTTTTGTGGAGTGTGCTAGAGTTCCTACGCCACAGAACCAAAAAGCTGTCGCTCGAGTTTTACAAAGCCTGCCGCAGGTGACCGAGAGTTGCAAACACTTGGGAACTTGGAAAGATAGACTCTGATCTATTTGTTCAGATTACTGTTGTGTATATATACATAAAAGAGTTACTATTTTTGGAAGAGTTCGAAAGCAGCAAATACTGCTGAACAACCAAATACCACTTTGCAACCAACAAGTCTCTGAACTATAACAAGTGTTTACAAAGTGCTACAGGAATTGCAAGCAAAACTACTTCAAGCAAACCATAGAGGTTGCAGTGGCATTGACCTATACTGTAGAAAGCACGATCGTACACTGAACCCAAACTGCGGCAAAAGAGTGTATAGAAAAAAATATTGAACGGCAGAAGCAATTCCAGGACAAACAACAATCTCAACTTGTTTCGCTCAGTTTCATAAGCTCGACAATTTTTCTGGCAGGGACTGTGGACTATATGCAACGAATTGAACAATCCATCGCATAAACACGTCGTGTTAACCTTAGGTTTCCACAGTAACTGTGCTACGGAGCTTGGATGGCCCTATCATCATGTGTTAGTTCACAATATGGACTATAACCAGCAATTAAGAAACACACCTCTGAGCAGCTTCGCAGAGCTTGGACCAGGCTTCGTCACGGTATCTACCTTGGAAGCCATGGGATCTCCATGAGAGCCGCCTTCATAATTCACGGGGCGAGCCGTCAAAAGATCCATTTCTGGAACTTCTGGCCTTTCATCCTCGCTCACTGCGAGGTCGCTAAACCGTCAATCTAAACTCGATTATACGGATTAGCAAACATATAGACCTTAGCAATTCCCATAACTGAAGACATACCGTCATAGAACTCATCCTCGTCGTCATAGTCGGCAAGTTGTTCAAAGTTGACCTTGTATCGCAGAAGGCCACCGATACCACCGAATCCCTTGACGAATTGGTTGCCTTCACTGGACCGGTCGGAAACGAATTCCAGAGTAGCACCGAAGTCTTTGTAGGCCTCGGCAAGCCACTCAAGGAACGGGCCTGAGTCGGCGACCTCCATCTCTTGGCCAGTTTCCTTGTCCAAAAACAGTTCCCGTTGGTTTTCCTCTTGATACCTGTTGGTGTAAACGGTGACTTCAGAGCCGCTCGCGTCCTTCAGAACCCATCGGTTCAAATCCAGGTTCTCATAAACGATAAGGATTTCCACGGCACCAAGCTCCAGGGCTTTGAGAGTATCATCGATACCATAGCAAATCTTTCCGGTATCTTGACTGATTTCTTCGAAATATTTGCCAATGAGTTTCTTTTCTTGAACGAACTTGACGTTGCTCAGAGTCTCAGAAGAAAGTTCGATAGCTTGGTTGAAGCCGTTTTCACCTCCGTAAGAGACGTCGACAACCTTGATAACCTTGGACTGCAAACGCCCATCGAACAGATCGGACTGGTTCAGGTCATTCTTGAAATCGGCGGAACCGGCCAAGATCAAGCCTGCCACGTTGATCTTATTGTCGGTGATGAAGTTCTGAACTGCCAATTCGGCAATTTTTCGCACGTAGTTGTGACGCTTTTCCTCACGGAGACGAGCGAAACGGAGCGCAGACTGACCACCACGGCCGTGCTTCTTGGGCAGATCGACGCTCAACTTCTGGAGAACTTCTCTGGTGTTTCCACTGAGGGTGCCGAAAAGAGAACCGTTTCCGTCCATGACGATGAAACCGAATTTCTGGTCTGACTCGAGTAGCTCACTCAGAGCTTCGGTGTGGAATTTGTTGTCACAAAGATAAAGCGAAGTGTTGATGGGCTTGAACGGTTCAAAGTCAATATTAATCTTACGTTCCTTTCCTTCGGATGTAATAATTTCTCCACAGTACACGACCAAGCCATTCGGAGGGACCTTGTTGTAAAGCTTGAGACGCTGCTGCGTGGACGTAATGGCCGAAAGCACGGAAAGACGGTTCACACGGGATTTGATGTTGGACGCAGTGCCCTATCGTTTCACTGTTAGCCATTCAGCTCTTACCAAAAGAAAGCAATACAGGTAAGAGACGTACAAACTCTTCCGCCAACATCTTCGCCGCCCGGGACACTTGGTCCTTAGGAGCTATAACGAAATCATTAGTAACGAGACATGCCACTTTCGAGGGCCATGGAAAGCATACGGATAATCAGCGAAATCATCGAGGTTCCATTTCCTCTGGCGGCTTCAAGACGCTTGATGAGCTTCTTGACCTTCCAGATTTCAATGTTCTTCTCCGCGTCGTTCGGAGCCTGAGCCGAGCTCATGTTGGGTGAGGCGACCAAGGATATACACGACCGAGTTGAAATCTGACTGGGGTACTGGACGAGATTGTTAGATATAGAACACAGACAAGCAGACAAAAAAAAATTGAAGCACAAAAGAAGTGAGTCAAGTGGTATACACATACCCTGGGACTGGTCGGTTTTGCCGTCAGACGCTCCAGCGGGGTGTTTGGAGCAAATTTCACCGTGGGGTGGCAGTGATGCTAAAAAAGAAAGATTGAAGGTCGCCTCCCGTGATGACATAAGCGTGTATATTTTGCGTATCATACAATACCTGTAATTAGGCTTTGATTATAGGGGTACCAGCCTACATACTCTACTTCTCTGGTATGACTAATAAAAAAGGGCTTTGAAAAGGTAGTAATGATTCATTTTCCGAGTCATTTATTGTCATTTGCATTGTGGGCCTAACTTGTCGAATGTCCATGTATTACAAGTGCATGCCGATATGGGAATTATGTAGTTATACAGAGTACAAATAAATACCTCTGGGTATAAAGAAGTACTTGTGGTCCAAGCAACAGCGACCAATTAATACACATATCAATTCATAGGCTCTGGACACTGAGAGCTCTCTATGATTCACTTACAATTGTAGTCTGGAGCATTGTGTGGTGATCTAATGGATGTTACCGTTCCTGAAGAAAAAAAAAAAAGCTTATCAATACTAATTGGGGAACCTCATCACTTCTTCCTTTCGACATCGTAGCAGTTCATCGTGCTCTTTCTCCCTTTATTTTATTTCCCCTTCTTTTCTCCTTATTTCATTTTCTGCACATTTATTTTACGGACGTATTGTGCTGTTTCATATTGGTAGCCGGCATCGTGATACGAATACCGGTTCTAGATACTATGCAGGACCCTTTAACTACAATTGTTACTGAACAGCAGGCCACAGAGTCGTTAGGTTCGAACTCATTGCTTGAATCGGATAGTTATAGTCGCTCCCGGTCATCCTTGTCTGAGAATGATGGTCCCCACAGGTAATGCTTCTAGACTGGCAGTTGAAGAAATCCAACGCTAACTAGGCCCAGTTCATTCTCTGTTCGTTTCAGGCAGGCAGGTGGTGTAAATAGCATCGATAATTTTGCAAGATCATGGCAAAGAGCAGCATATTTTCCTGAAGTCCTTCCACGGCAGCACTCGTCCACGACAACCGGGTCAGATGATGAATGGGCTACTATACAGAGTGAAGAGGCTGAATCACAAGGTTCCCAGCGATTTAGTCAATATGCTCCTACGCACCCGCTACTTGATTCTGATGTGGAAGAGGGAGATGGCGACTTGGCTCGTCCTAGCTTGGGGAGGATAATTCCAGACATTGGAATTACCGGTTCTTCTGTGGATAGAAGCTTTGGAACCTCATATGGGACCATTTCTTCGCGAGTCAGTGATGCGACTCGGAGACATGCCTTTCAGTTTCACAGGGAACAACATGCACAGCCAGCTACATCTGATGATAATGAGCGGGACCAGCTATTAGTCAAGCAAGTACAACATGAAAACGGGACCAGGGGGGATTTTGTCGTCGGCCAATCGACTATACCACAAACAATTTTCAATTCGGTGAATGTCTTGATAGGTGTCGGCTTGTTGAGTCTGCCTCTGGCAATGAAGCAAGCTGGGTGGCTCCTGGGACTATTGTTCCTCACCTTTGCTGCAGTGACTACATCATATACTGCTAAAATCCTCGCCAAATGTCTAGATGTGGACCGAACTCTCGTCACGTACGCTGATTTGGCATACATTAGTTTCGGACATCGTGCACGGTTGGTGACTAGTCTTTTGTTCTGCTTGGAACTCATAGGGGCTTGTGTTGCCTTGATAGTACTTTTTGCGGACAGCCTTCATGTCCTACTACCGGAGCTTAGCATTCTTCAATGGAAGATCATATGCGGATTCATGCTTCTTCCGCTCAATTTTGTGTCTTTGCGGCTTCTTAGCGTGACGAGTATACTGGGCATACTGTCTTGCACATCAAGTATGTTTCAACTTCCTCGATTGGGGTTTGTGATGGGTTAACATCTATGAAGTCGTGATCATGATCTTAATCGATGGTTTGATCAAACCGGACGCTCCCGGCTCCCTTCATCAACCTGCCAGGACGACCTTGTTGCCTGATAATTGGGCTACTGTTCCTCTAAGTTTTGGTTTGATCATGTGTAAGTTACTCCCAACCCCACTCCATGTCCATTATCCCTCCACTTCTAGGAACTTCTTTGTTTACTGACAACTATCAAGCACCTTGGGGTGGGCATGGAGTCTTTCCTAATATATACAGGGATATGATACACCCCCGGAAGTATGATAAAAGCCTCTGGGTAACCTACATATTTACGGTAAGACGAGAGAACAAGAATTTAAGTTGTCTTATCGTATTAACTCATTAGTACTCCCTTGATTGTACAATGGCAGTTGTGGGCTGGATGATGTATGGGGGTGCAATCTTAGATGAGGTCACGGCCAATGTACTCATGACAGATCAATATCCACGAGCTGTCTCCCTTTGCATCATATCATTCATTGCAATCATTCCAATCACCAAAGTGCCCTTGAAGTGAGTCACCCTTCTGGCTAGGCTCATTGCAAAAGATGACTAACAACGTATAGCTGCCGGCCTCTGGTTGCAACCGTCGAGGTGCTATGCGGGCTCGGGCTACGCCCCGGTATGAATTCAAATGACCAGAAGGGGCTGCGAGGAATTTTCCGCCGGTCTTCAACGGGTATAATCCGTATACTCATTGTGATCGTTATTGTGCTCATGGCGATCGTCTTTCCATCCTTTGATCGGATAATGGCACTTATGGGATCCGCTTTGTGTTTCACAATATGCATCATATTGCCCCTTGCATTCTACCTGAAGATCTTTGGGAAAGAGATCAGTCCCAGTGAACGGACTTTGGACTGGATCCTTCTGATCATATCCTCGATTGTAGCCACCGTCGGCACTGTTTGGGCATTTTTACCGCAAGATTTAATCACTGCGAAATAAACCATCGTCGTCAGCGGTCGTTATCATTTTGTGACTGGCTTATAATCGTCACGGACGATAATGGCAAAATTGTTCCTTGTTTTGCCATCGTTCAGAATCTCTTTCTTGAATGGCTTCGGTTTGTAGTCCTGGCGATGTTCCCAGAGCTGAAATATCAACTTAGAAGTTTGCTTGCTCTGTGTCATGACAAATCCCATGCTAGACAATATCTCCTGCAATCTGTTCTCAGTGAGATAACGCGAGTTGTTGACGCATGGAAGAGGCAAGACTAAGAATAAGCTAGGTGCACAGGAGACAGGACAATCTGATGGTAGTTTGTTTGTGAGGAAGGTCACGCAACGTTTCAGCATTTCTCCTCTTCCTTCGGCATATGGGATGTAGTTAAGTACCAAGGATAAACTGATGAGGTGAAAACGATCGTCGTCGCTGTGAGGAAGCGGTCTCTCCATAAAGTCTTGCTTCAAGATCCCTGGTTCCTGAGAATTAAGGTCTATCCTTGTGACATCGAGCGATTTCTTCATGGAACACGCATTTTTAGTACTGAGAGCTCCGATCTCGAGCACTCGAAGTCGGAAAGGCGTGTCTTTCAATAACGACAGTTGTGGGCCTATCCAATCAACCAAGACTTTACTCGAATCTCCCCCGCGGGCTGATGATTGCCCCAGCTTGCTGGCGATTTGGTAACTTTCCAAACCACCATTTTCTCGAATTTGCGCGTCAAGTTTGTCGGCTAAAGCATGATCGCCTGACTGTAAAGCTTGAGCCCGGGATTTAAGAAGACGATGATGGGAACGAATGAGATTCCGAGTAGCTTTTGAAGACAAGGATGCGGTTTTGGCTCTGGCTGTTGGCGGACGGGAATGAGAAAGTAGCATGAGTTTTTTGTTTTTGGACTGCTTCTTCGAAGTCATACTGGAAATCGTCGTATTGTCTTTTTTCTTCTTCTTTTCTTTTTCTCTCTTAACTTGGTATTTTGATTCTGCTATATAACATGCCTTCGCAATTGGTGTCGCTTGATTCCCGGGGCTTTAGACGTTGAAGAAAAGAAGAATATGTAGCAACGTTATTTATTACATGGCCCTATCATCCGCGCTCATCGTAAGCGCCGCTGTTAATCCGACGAGCGCCAAGAGGTCCGACTCAAGTCAGGTGACCCACACAGTAGCATACCCGTAGGGTTTTTTTCCATTAAGCGAATGCACTCCAAATATTCGACATTCAACACTGCGACAATCACCACGACAGCGCCGGACGACAGCCATGGCCCCTAAGGCGGAAAACAAGCAAGGTAGGTTTATATCGCGAGTGGTTATTATATTTCCATCCCAGATTGCAGAATTGTCGATTTGTTCGATCATGAGAGTGCGGACGTTTTGCGGTGATAACTCCCCAAAAGACGACAATTTTGTACCGTTCGCACACAGAAACCGATCAATCGCATGTTTTGGAGGAGAACACGCTTGGTTTCATCGCTGATGCATCTTTGCCATCTTTTTTGTCGTCTACCTTATGATTCGAGCAAAACGCAATTTCTTTCTATGGGGGTACCGTTTGAGTTTTGAGGAGAAGCGCTGACCAGTGTTTTTCAATTTTACAGGCAAGACCAACCCCAGCAATAAGGCTGGTGCTGCCGCCAAGGCAGTTCTGAAGGGTGCAGGTGTACGTTGATCTCCCAATCATGCGAAGAATATCTGTTTCGACTTGAAATTGAAGAAATGGGAGTGCTAAATCATGTGGCTGCTATACAGGCGCACAAGGCTCGCAAGGTCCGCACCTCGACCACCTTCCACCGCCCCAAGACCCTTCAGCTTTCCCGGTCGCCCAAGTACCCCCGCAAGTCGGTCCCTCATGGCCCCCGCCTCGACTCACACAAGGTCATCCTCTACCCCCTTAACACCGAGAGCGCCATGAAGAAGATCGAGGAAAACAACACCCTCGTCTTCATCGTCGACGTCAAGGCCAACAAGCGCCAGATCAAGCAGGCCCTCAAGAAGCTCTACGACGTCGAGACCGTCAAGGTTAACTCCCTCGTCAGGTATGAGGACTTCCGCTTTCCCGTTTCTGGCAACGGATATCGATTATTTTGCTCTGGTAACATGTTTCTAACTGGATTTCCTACAGACCTGATGGCTCGAAGAAGGTCTACGCGCGGTTAACCCCTGATGTCGACGCTTTGGACATTGCTGCTACCAAGCTTGCTATTGTCTAGAGTGATGGTTTTGTTTGGGTCTGGGTGATTTCCTTTTCTTTATGCGCGGTGGTTCAATAAAAATTCAGTCAAAATCTAGTTGCCAAGGCTGCAATGACGGCTGAATGACCATTTAAAAGAACAGAATATTTCAATTTCATGTCCTCAGTAACGATTTTACATGGGACCTATGTCTTCTTGTCTTCGATTCGTAGTTCTTGACCGGAATAATGGTCGAAAGAACTTAATTACTCTCTACTCCAATCTTACAGACGGAGTATCTGTAGATGTGATTGCTGATACTTGATACAATAATAGCGTGATATTTCTATAGTTATACAAGTTCCAGTCCCATACTGAATTGGCAAATGCCCATATCCCGATTCTCAACATGACAAGCAATAAAATTCATCAATGCCTCGTACAGCCAGTGGCCTATCAGAATTTACTGTCCGCGAAGAGCCTCCAAATGCTTCAAAACGGACAGGTTTGTGTCCATCCATCTTTCGACGCAGTTCTGTGCGCAGGCCTCTTCTGCCCGGTCCAAACGTCCTGAAGAGACCTTTCCGGTAATGCACTTCTTCCAGCAAACGTCCGCGAGATGGTGAACGGCTAAGGATTGCGATTAGCAAGTCGAACGGATAGACTTAGATTTTTGAAGGAAGAGGTGACAGAATCTGTCAGAAAATAACAATGATAGATGCGGTGAAAAGGGACTAAGTCGCCTGTTGTATGTGGAACAGTGTTTTACTTACTCTGCTGGATATTCGACTTCTGGGCCTCGTTGGTCAAAAATTGGTTCAATTCCTTCTTATCGGCATCACTCAGTTTGGAGAGGTCGAGCTGCGCCGTGGGGTCCATTTTGGAGCGGGTAAACGGATTATAATAGATGTCTCGAATGTCAAGGCGATAAGATTCGGTTCAATTGCCCTACAAGCAAGAAGGCGTGGATTGGTATAGCTGGGGAATAGAAGGTTGCGTACTATGATTCAATCGGTCCGAACCTCTACAAGTTCTACTCTCGAAGAGCTCAAAAGGCGGTGCACCTTGGCAGAAAGACTGGCGGAGTAGTTACTTTCAAGGCCGTTTGCTACCTTTGCGTTATCAACTATCGATATCGAAAACTATAGAATTGAGTGCTCCGAGCTTCCGTGTCCATCTTGTTATCACAGACTTCATATTCCTTGAAATTTCATGGTCTTCCCCGCGCCCTGAATCAACCATGCCACCGGTCCGTACATCGCGCAACCGCAAACCACCACCAGATGGCTTCGACGAAATAGAAGACACACTGCTCGAATTCAGCAACAAGATGAAAGATGCTGAAAATGCATCGCATGACGGGAAGAAGAAACATGAAATGTTATGGCCCATTTTCCAAATAAGCCATCAACGTGAGCTAGCGCCTCTCTCCTCTCCCGACAGCTCTTTTCGCTGACGCCTTTCGTATCATATAGGTTCGAGATATATCTATGACCTTTATTATGAAAAAAAAGCCATATCAAAACAACTATATGAGTGGTTACTGAAGAACAACTACGCCGATGCCAACCTTATCGCAAAGTGGAAGAAACAAGGCTACGAAAAAGTATGTCATCTTTGTATTGATCATTTTGGTCTGTCATGTTACTACAATTCGTACATTCTATCTAATGAGTCCGTGTTTGCAGCTTTGTTGCCTTCGCTGCATCCAAACTAAGGAAACGAACTTCAACGCCACCTGTATTTGTCGAGTACCGAAAGCGCAGCTCAAGGAGGATCAAATGATCCAATGTGTCAGTTGCGGATGTCGAGGCTGTGCAAGTAGCGACTAGGATACTTAGAATGAAGGGAAAGGTAATATATACGTGTGTGTTTCTATGGCTAAAGAAGTGCATCACAATGTTCATACGCGCTTACCTTGCATTTAGAAATAGGTTGTGGGACGATGGTCGGTTTGTTTTATTTAAAACTGGGCGTTTGGGGACAACTGAAAATTTTGGTGATTCTGTTTCCCGGTCCTTTAGTTGACATTATGTCTCTGGGCATGGTATGTTTCCATTTAACATGATACCCTCTTGGAATCAACGATGTATGTGCATTCATGCTTGATGACCTGTAATGAAGTTGCAACACAGAATATATTGAGTTGGTAATTGAAAGGACTAAATTCGCTAATACAAACATGTGACAAAAACAAGACTCGGCCAACCAGGACTATCAAGGCAATGCAAAAAAAAATAAAATATGAAATCAGGACAAAACATTACAAGTTCGTGTACATCTTAACAGATATTGTCATAAGGTCATAGCAAAGTCATCCCAAACACGGTTTTCAAGTCAGAGCCGACTCCAGATCTTACCTAAGCCCAACGAACTCCAGAAACGAACGCAAGTGGGAGGGAAACAAGCGCAGAAAACCAGCCCAAAATCAATTTGAACAAAACACCATATGCCTCAAAAGTCACAAAAAGGATAAAATCTTATGGAATAGCAGTTGATTGAACCAAAGAAACTTGCACGTCATAGTACTTGGTTCAGAGCCCAATTCAGAATGCACCTGAAAAGACGGAAGAGAAAGAGCAACATCGCTCTGCCGGTATCCAACTGGAACAATTTAGCTCAAAACAACGAGGTGTTGCTTCGGGAAGTGAAGTTTGGTCTTGATATGTGTGATTTGATCTTAGATGGCTCCTCTTTACTGGCACCTCCAATTTTTTGGAAACCCTGTAGAAGATCGACACCATCCACTTCTCCCGGGCTCTCATCAAAAAGATGGAATGAAAAGAAATCGTCATGAGTGGCATCAATGAAACGACTAGGGTCTGGCATTTTGGATGGCGAATCAAAGAGCAGGCCTTTAGACTTATGTGATGATAGGGATGTTGCACCCATGCGACTGTTGACGCTCATGGAAGTGATATCGGCAAGGGCATTGCCGCCGGATCCTCCGCCCTCCAAGCGAGCACGCTTCGCAGAGCGCTTCTCCGGCGATCCACGGGCTGGCGTGGAGATATTGTCCACTCCGGAATCGGCAAAAACATCAAAAGTGGAGTGGAAATTTTCGTTCGGTGTGAATGCTTCGTCCTGGATGTTGAATGCTGGGCTCCATGGCAGGTCCTCATCCGTGAGGCCCAATTGTTTGATAGGGGAATTGACCATTTGTTGAATCTTCCTACGGTGGTTTCGAAGGTTGGTGTTTGGAGAGACCGACGGTGGCGGTTTCGCTGGCTTCTTAAACTTAATCACAGGCGTGAGAGGGGGCGGCAGCATGCTCACATAGTCTCCACGAATCGGTGATGAGCCGGCAGCCACTCCGGAATCCTTGGTGCGACCAGAATTGTTTGGACTGATGTCATGAGATGAACTGCGAATTCGCGCGATCTCTTCCTCTGCACGACCGCGCTTGATACGAGGCGGCTCAATGTCCAGGTCGGAGGTCAAGATATGTCCAGTCTTGTTCGGCCGCATTGCTGATGACTCCAAAGACGAGAAATACCCACTGTCGTTCATCGCAGCCGATTTGCGTTTTTTCGAACGCGGACCAGCTGCAGAAGACGCGGCGGTTTGAGACGGAGAAGGAGGGGTACCTTGACGGGAGAACCGAGGCGGAGCAACTGGGGGAGATGAATGGATGGGCTGGGGAGGAGAGGACCGAGGTGGGAGAGCCCGCAGCGCTGCTGTATTGGTGCCTTCGTCACCTGTGTCGTCTTGAAGGGCTGGGTCGGAGGCAGGCAAAGTAGCATCCGAAGACAAGTCGACATTCTTAGAAGATACCTTCTGAGGTGGATGATGGCTAGGGGGTGGCGGAACTACCCATGATGCCATGCTGGAGTTCCGGGGGTGGGACGCCGACTCCCTTTGAGGAGCTGCAGGGAGGGGAAGACTGGACATGGTAGCGCGACGCAAGGGCTTGTCCTTGAGAAATTGCGCCTCCATGCCAGGTTCAATCGCCCAGTAATTTCCTTTTCCCGGGTCATCCTTGGGCCGTTCCTGTTTGATGAACGCCTTGTTCAGACTCAGATTGTGGCGAATACTGTTCTGCCAACCGGGGTCACTGTTCTTGTAGTAGGAAAAGGTATCCGAAATCCATTTGTAAATCTGCGCCAGAGTCAACCGCCGGTTAGTCGCTCGAAGAATCGACATCCCAATTAGCGTCGCATAGCTGTACGGAGGCTTTGTGCCATCATCTTCGATCGGTGGCATATCTTCAGGCTCAGGTAGACGCATTGCTGGGGTATCTTCGGATTTAGGCTTCTTGATCGATCGTTCTTTCAGCGGCGCAGCCTCCAAGAGCGTCCTTCTCAAGGGAACTTTGTTTCCATACGAGGGTTCGGGAAAATCCGCGAAATTATCATTGGGAAGATCATTGGCGATTCGATTCTCGTTTGGCGAGGATTCCCCGGGGTTGATGCTAGAGAATGTGGTGAACAGGGCAGATTGCGGCATTGATGATGTTGTTGGTGCAGAGGACGACGTAGGATGTGGGTTTGCGCCCAAGGGGGTCTTCTTGGTAGGTGAATCTGTGGTGAACATAGGTGGGTTTGGAGCAGTTATCGGGACGAAACCCAATTTGCCCTGGCCTGAATGCGAAGTACCAATCTCGCGTGAAGCTTTTGTTGGAGATGGCCTTTGATACTTTGATGAGGGCGGATCCAGGATGTATTCTCGAGTTGTTGAGTTGTTCTCAATAGGTTGCAAAGGCAGAAGCGAGGGCTCGAGACGAGGCTGTGACTTGGGAGGAGGGTCTTTATGAAGAGTCAACGCTTCCGTAGAAGCCTGTGCAACCGACGCAGGACGCGCCGAGGTCATGATCTTTGTCTCTTCCTTTTGAATCGAGTATCCAACGCGTCAAGAAAGGGCCACCAATTAGACAACAGGCGACAAAGCCTTGCTCTTTGGCCTTGGAGTGCGTGTGCAGTTGAAATCCTGCATCAAAGAGATGAGGATTAAGTGCAGGCCACGAAGGTGTGTAGTAGCCTCGGGTGGTTGTGGATCTGTGCAGAATAAGCAAGATCGAGAATCGATTAGGCGACAAGGCGCTAGTAAAAGTAGATCAATATTGTAGCCCAATGTGTTGGTACAATGGCAGATAAGAGAAAAAAAATTGTTAAGAGACAAAGGACCCGCAATTGGCATTCAATAGAAAGCGTAGGGCGTCTTTCAACTGGATGATGTAGTAGATGTAGGGTATTATTGCGCGCGCACCTCAGCGATCTGGTTTAAAGCAAGCAAGCGATAGATGGATTAGGGATAGATAAAGATTAATAGATATGGGGAAAAGAGTCGAGATATAA